CTAAGCTACTCGCGGATTTCTGTTTATAGTATTTGAAACTGGTAGATGGAATGTTACGACCTCTTCGCTCCCTCTCCCCTTGACGGCATTTTTTTTGGAAAAGTTTCTGAAAAAATGGTAAGCATCGGCAGGGCATCAGAGCATCTTAAATTTGCCGAGAAATAAGCTCTGCGGGGGTATTTATTTGTAGGAGTCTCTTTACTGTCCAAATATGAATGAGTTTAGCCTTATTTCCATGAGGTCCTGTGTAAGTGGGAGTGTTCCAATACAATACATTTCCATCAGTTTCTCATGTTTCTCAAATCGATGCAGCTAATACTAATCCAATTTCAAAATATTTGTAATATTTCAGGACAACGAGTTGGAGCATTTTCTGTGATATGTGAAAGCCCAGAAGAAGCAGCTCGCGTCGCTTCACAGCTGAAGATCCTCATCCGCCCTCTCTACTCGAATCCACCAATCCATGGCGCTCGAATTGTCACGAAAATTCTCAACAATGCAGCTCTGCGTAAGCAATGGTGAGCTGACTTTTTCCTTTTTCATACAGGAACGGAGAAGAGTGTGGACTAACATCCTTGTTTGTCTCGGATGTGTCTTAAAGGCGAACGTTGGTCCGGCACTATTGGAAGCGGAGACAGTCGAAACATCGCGCCTTCGCCAGAACTTCCTACCGAAGCACGGTGAGGAGGTGGGCTTTGCGAGAAGCGCAGAACTTGACCGTCCCCGCCCATACGATTAACATGAACTGTTTTGACTTGTTCGATGTGAAAGGTATGGCTGACCGCATTCTTTCTATGCGAACTCAACTGCGGGATCTGCTAGCCAAGGAGGGATCTAAACGCAATTGGCAGCACATAACTGATCAAATTGGAATGTTCTGCTACACTGGAATCAATCCTCAACAGGTGAGACACAGCATTCGCGAGAACTGACAAGGGGTAATCGTGACATAGCCAGCTCGTAATACTTCATTCTAAATAGGCAGCTTTTACGCGCCCGGCCCGCGTGTCCGTAGATAGGGCGCGAAATGTGTCGCGCTTCTGCAGTCGAAATCGCTGTGCTCAGTCGGGGCTTGTCGATTTGGGCGGCACAGCCTGTTTTCCATCGATCGCTGCGGCTTGGGGCGTTCAATGAGTGGTGGGAAAGGGAGTGGCGCCGGGCGGGAACCCACGCCCCGACTGTCTTCGTGACATGGTTCGTGACAAGACAATCGTAATATGCCGCGCTGGTGTGGCTGGGCGTGACGAAGGACGTCGCTCGCCGTCGCGCTGCACGGACGCTTCCCCTGCCTGGCTGTTGAGTACGGGCGTCAAAGGGATGGGAAAATTCGATATCACCTGTCATAGACTCCTGCCTGTGCTTGAATTCGTAATACTTTCCTGCCTTCGCCCCTCAATCGACCAACTGATGGCACACTCCAGAACGTGTGCCACCGCATGTGTTACATACGGCCCGCGCGCGGCCGCGCAATAAATTACGATTGTCTTGACCTCTCATTTTGAAATGCAGTGTGCTTACACGCCGCTTGACTTTGTACCCTTTTCGTAAGATCTGAACAAGGAACCAATAGGGGAATGCTTTGCCATCGGACCAAAGGAACTCACCAATAACGTTTCAAAATGCCATGTTTCAGGTAGAAAAGCTGATCAAGGAGCACTCTGTCTACCTGACCAAGGACGGCCGGATTTCCGTGGCTGGAATCTCGTCCAATAATATCGAATACTTCGCGAAAGCCCTCCATGAAGTCACTAAATAGAAGGCTAACCTCCTCAAAAAGCACAGTCTCAACGTCCCCGTGTTGCCTAATAATTATACCAGTATAATTATAGGTTTTGTAGCTGTATAGTTTGATATGTTTATATGTCACTGTCTGTTCCATTTCGGGCATTTTTACTCGTGCACTTTGCTAAATTGTAACAACTCAGTGTTCATTCGGGAGCATAAATGAGTTTACGCGGTACTCCTTTGTGTTCGGGGTCTTGATAGTGGGCTAGACTGGCTCCAACAAGCGCGACTGGTACAGTCTTGTTAATTGTGGACGCTGGGGCGTCTCAAAGAAACTAGGTTTATGTGCAGCTATAGCCAGTTTACCACTGATTGTTATCGCCCCTGAGAGTTTCAGCCTGCGCGCGGCAAACGCGGTACCGCTGACACGCCTCAGCGTGCCTGTGGCGGGCAAGACTTTCTACAGACGGAGCGCCTTACTACCATCACGAATAAACGTCACCCATTTTCACGTGTATAAGTTGCTTCTCCTTACATGGTCACGATAGCGCTGCTGCGGCGGAAAGAGCTTATCTCACTTATCAGCCAACAGCATCAGAACTTTTGTTGATCTCTACTGCTCTTGCTGCGAGTAAACTAGAGCTCGAAATCAGGAAGGTGTGGCCTATATGCACGGTTGCGCCTTTAATACGCCCTTAAAAAGAGTAACTATGAGTGTCTCGAGAAAACCGTAGTAGATTACTTGTTGAGGAGTTGCAGTCTTCTACGCTGATTGAGTGGAGGAGTGCGTGTCTGCCATGTGTGCGCAGTCGTCAATTGGTGCGTTCCCTCCCAAGGGTAATGGAGAAGGCAAAAACAATGAGACGTATAGTTGTTGGAAAGTGACCTGGCTGCGCCCATTGTCGATTTATCTTGTGATACGTATGCAACTGTGAACTGCTTTGGCTACTCAATATACGATTTCCTGGTGAATGAGCTACTGTATCTCGGTTTTATAGCGAGAACCAGCTACCATTACTGGATAACAGTAAAAACAGAGGGAGAGCTGTTCTGCTTGGAAAGGGCATTTTGTACTGTCCCTAGTGTTGGGAATCTGTTGGTGCTGATGGCGAAGACGAACGGTTTATTGAAGAACAAATTCAAGGGTCCAGGGGGTGGCTTATATACGTATTCGGGGCGTGTAGCTTACAGCAAGTGGTGCTATTTCATCACAATCTATTATGAGGCATAAATCGGCTAATGCTCGCATATGCTCATCGCAACATAGGCTTCAAAGAGGCACTCTTTCGAATACGAAAGCGATCAAATATGGATCAGAAAGAGTACGGCAATCCCCTGGAATACATGATGAGACAGGATTCAGAAGATCAGTTTCTTCTATAGAAATTACAAAAACCTAATTCCCTTTGCAAGGGTGCAAGTGAGCAACTTAGGCTACAGGAACTTCACAAGAAGGCCTGAACAGGCTTTCCGAGAATCCGCGGAAACCCTGCCTGAAGAAGAGATCGTCACCGCCCAAGTGGAGAGTTACAGACCAGTTAATGGGTAACTTTTTCCCTGATTCTCAACTCTTTCCGTATCAGATATGACCGCTGCCTTGAACGCTGTTGCCGAGCGTTTCTTCAGTCATTGCGTCCATCCAAAATGGAACCAGCTCTGTATCAAAAATTGGACACTGAAGGACTTCCGTAATCCGATAGCCTTGGAGAGGGTAGGGGCATTTCCGTGAGAACCCGCCTGCTTAAGTGACATACGGCTGCAACTACACGCCAATGCTGTGAAAATCGCAACATACATGTCGTAATTGACCACGAAAGAGGAGATGGAGGGAAGGGGATGTAGGCGCAGGGTTCTATACAGATACGGAGGATCGTCAATAGAGGATGTAGCTAACACCCTATTTCATTTGACACCGTCAGGATCGTCATACGTTGGGGATCACCAGCGAGAGGGTAGTGTTGGATTTGAGAGAAATGTTTTCAGTCATTAACTTTTCTCGGTTTTTCCTGTTCCATGTACTCTATGCAGCCCTTCAACCGTCCTTGCTTTTCGTGATTTCTAGAGAAGAAACTGATCGTTTGAACCCTTACTTATCATGTGTTCCAAAGAGATTCCCATGCTCTTTCTGATCCTGATACCTGATCGCTTTTGCATTCGAAAGAACGCCTCTTCCGAAAGCCTATGTTGCGATAACCATATGCGAGCATTAGCCAATACAGCCTCATAATGGATTGTGATGAAATAGCACCACTTGTTGTGAGATTACATGCTCCTGAATACGTATATAAGCCACCCCTAGGACCCTTGAATTTACTTTTCAATAGACTGTTCGTCTTCGCCGTCAGTGTACCAATAGTTTCCCAACAGTTCCCTCCGCTCGCAAGTAAGGCAGGATGGGCACGAAGGTGGATCGATCGTAGCAGAGGAGAAAATTTCATAGGGAGCCTATTTTGCGAAATTTCTTCTGATCACGGCAGGACGTATCCAGGATGTTGGGAGGATAATTCAGGTTGCAAGTCATTGCCTACCCTCCCCTCCCGCACGGCCCCCCCCTCCCCATAGAAATGTTTTTTGGGCGCAAAAACAACTGGCGCATACAAAAAAAGCCTTTTGATTTCGTACTCGAATAAAACCAATATTTTATGAAGCCTTTCATGAGGCGATTATTTTATGCTACCGTCCCGTGATGGTGGTCGATGGTGCAATAGCACTGCGCAATTATGAATGCTGGTTCTGGAGCATAGATTCAAGGGAGATCACCACTTAGTTGATTGGTAGTTTGACCCCCTGAGCACGAATTTCGCTAAGGCAGCGTTCAGACTTCGCGACGGCAGCGTGTTCGGCGCGATCGATGCATCGATCGCCAAATCGCGCGACTGGAGCGCTGTCGTCGCGAAGTCTGAATGCTGCCTAATGTTACCATAGGAAAGGAAAACGAATAGCTACCGCGCTATGGGTGCCGAAGCTGCGGACCTATTTTGACGCTGGCCGCTGTGCGCGACGAGCGGCCAGGCGAATTTCGGGGAATTCGTGGTTGCCTTCGATTTCTTCTTTTGCTGGACCTCAGCCTTGGTTCAGTAGGGAATCATCTCGCCTTCGCCGTTCAAGCGAAAATGCCATGCCACAACATGTTCTTTAGACCCCTCCGTATTCTTGAACTACTTGGCATTAAAATGAACTTACTATGTGTGCTTTGGGGCCAAGCTATTCCTGGGGATGAATTTTTTAGCCTGAGCTACCGCAAGGATGAAAGCTTTTTAAAAAATCCGCCTCAACCTCAAAAGAGGGCAGTAGGGGTTCCACGTGCCGTTATCTCTCGTATAGCTTATGCATGCCTTTTTCCATCTAAAGAGACTAATTACAACAATTTCAGAAAAGCGAAAGAAACAATGAGATTGAACTGGCTTGCAGCCCTTCTGGTGAGTTCTGAGAAACCTTCGAAGCACATGCAAAACCAGTTGATCTTTTGCAGGTTTCCGTTCTTCCCTGCAATTGCCTGGCATATGTGCATGAATGGTCAAAAATGTCCATCTAAAAGCTAAAGGAGAGAGTAGACAAGTACTTCAAGCAGCAATAAAAAATGTGAAAGCTCCATGCTTTATAATGAAAGAGATCTGCTCTTCCTGTTTTCAAAAACATGTAGCCCTCAACTCAGCATTCCTGCAATTCTACAAACTTTCAAGCACTATCCTAAAGAAATATCTGTTGGATAGCGAATCTACCCAGATTCATCTCTCGCAATAGACCGGGAATGAAATCAACGATTCGCTCGTATAAGTCCGAAATTGGCTCTTTCCTCACCCATAGAACCCCCTACTGGCAGTTTTTCATTTTTTCCTTTCACTCAACGCAAAACGGTGTGCTCCACAGTGTTAATACTTCACTTGACAGGCTTACGGTCCATGGCTACAGTGCTGGATGGACTCTTGCCAGCCGACTTTCTGTTCTCCAGCTAACTGGTGCGGGGACTCTTAGAAGGACAGAAAACACTAATCACATGTACAGCAGGGGGCCAATAAAAAAGACACTTTGGCCGAGTCACATATCAGTGAAGTGTACGCAGCCGAGAGAGAGAAGACGTTGATATGAGTAGCAGGCGGAGGATATTCAACTTGTTCATAAGCAGGAGCAGGCTGTCGTCCAGCATCAAAATATGAAGTCACCTCCAATCGCAACCTGATTGGAGAAGGCCTTTAGAATTCACACCATCTACAAACCGCTGCGAAACTTTTTGTATGGAGTCACCCATGGATAGCTACCTGGAGAACGGCACTCTTGATCTGGAAGCCCTCCAACATCGAGCAGCTTCCGACAACGTCGTTACGGTCCAGGATATCATCTTCACCGCAGTCGCCAAGGCGGGATTGATGGCAATTACCGAAAGTTCCTGGAATGTGAAGATCGATGATTTCTTCGTGAACCAAAGACTGAGAGTGAATGCTGACGATTACATTGACCAACTCGTGTAGAATATCCTGAATTCATATCATCACCTGTAACTCTGCACTGCTACAGGAGTGGGGGTCACCAAATGGAATCGGAGGACGTTGAGTACCTGAAGAAGGATATCTGAATGCATCACCTGACCGGAACCCCCTATCAGGTCCGAGTGGAGCTCAGCTGGGTTTTCTACAGCGGCGGAGAAATCAATGACATTGCTGACTCAGGCATCGAATCACCGTCGCAGGGCAAAATCTCTCGTGTTAGACATAGGCTGCGGGAGTAACTCGTACTAGTATATAATATGCTGTTAATATGGTGGTAGAAATGTCCAATCAGAATTTAGTAAAGTTTACTTAGATCGCCTTGAAAGTCGAGGAAAATCCGGAACCCTAAGACAATTCCAACTGCAAGAGTAAACCATCAGGAAAAGGGATTGCTGAGCTCCAATAGTTTCACCCTTTCTCAAACGATCCTTGAAAAGAGCTCTCTTACTCGTGGATAGCTCCCGTGTTGTGGCCTACTTTGAAGTAGGTTCTTTAATACTTTTGCATCGAATAAAATAAAATAGCGGATTTCTGAGCTTCATTG